CCAAGCCTATAGAAATGAAAAGTGTACTAAAAGACTTCTTCCATATAAAAGCATTGTAGAAGATTTTCTACTTCATTTGCAAATTGTGGATCCAAAAAATTCATCAAATCCCATTCTTAAATCATTGCAAGAAATTGAAGAATTTCGTTTGAAATATTTTATAAAAGAATATCTTCATGCACGTCTAGAAAAAATCAGAGCAAATTTGTTTTTAGAAGAAAGCCTACTTAGCCAAAAAGAGCTGGTTTTCTATAATAAATACAAATCTCTTTTAATTGAACGAGATATTTTAGTAAACAAAAGATCCACTGATATAGAGTTTGTGGGCTTCATATGTGTCAAAAGAATTGAAAACATACAAATAGATGGGGAAATTATCGATATGGAACGTGGAAATTTCTTTGTCGGTTCTATTGACGATGTATATACTCATATCATTTCAGGACACATTGAATTGGCATAATTTAATAAATAGTAAAGATTATTTTTTATTATAACTACTTGTATACTCACTGAGCTTCATTAAAAACGGCATAGTATTGCTGTTAATTATTTAACTTGATTATGTCAGCTAGATAATATCACGGTTCAATGTTGATAACTTAAAATCATCTATTGTGTGTACAAACTAACTTTTAATTCCATAAAGCAGCATATTTATAACTTAAATTGGTCAGAAAACGAGTGAAGTCATGATTGTCTGGTTTATTAACTATTCTTGTTGTGGCAAGAAAATATTTAACATTAGGCTCTAAAGGAAAGATAGAGGTTTTATTTGTAAAATAATAAAAAAATATAATAATTTAGTTAGTACTTTCTTTTACTTAAAATTTTTTAACATAGTAATTCTAAAATCCGAGAAATAAATAATATATTTTTTGTGAGATTATCTTCACAAATGTTATAATAATAGGAAACATTTATAATACCGAACTATACATTTACTTCTTTTAATAATCGATGATTTTGACTAATTTTTGAAAAATTTTATCCCTATGAAATTAATAACACATTCAAATTCATTTCACTACGATGAAGTATTAGCGACAGCTTTTCTACAACAGATTTATTCAGACACCACATTAATAAGAAGCAGAATTCAAAGTGTGATTGATGAAGGAGACATTGTTTATGATGTGGGTAATGTTTTTGATGCAAAAAGAAATAGGTTTGATCATCATATGGCTTCATTTACAGAAACATTTTCGGAAAAATATAAAATTAAACTAAGCTCAGCTGGTTTAATCTTCAAATATTTTCATGAGGAATTATTTGAAAGGAAGGGATTCAGGAAGGACCATTTTTTGTACAATTACATTGTAGAAAAAGTTTATGAGGAATATTTTCTCTCTGCAGATGCTATTGATAATGGCTATGACATCTTTGGAGAAATAAAACCAAGAACTATGGCAGATCTTGTGGAATCATTTAATTATTCCGGGCCATTAGGTCAGGATTACGAATCAAAGCAATACAATCGATTTATGGAAGTCCTTGAGATTGTAAAAACAGATTTAAAAAATTACTTAGATTATATTTTCATTAACTACATTCCATCTTACACAAAGTTATATGAAAATATTAAAAATTGTGCAGGTTCTATTTTTGTAAGCGATACTCATGCTGATACTTCGATGATTTTTGATATTGATAAGTTGCTGCAAAAAAATCTAAAATTTATTGTCCTAAAATCAAATGATATGTTTAGAATTTATGCCCTACGTGTTTCAAAGACAGAATTTAAATCTCGCTTGCCATTATGCTCATCCTGGAGAGGTTTACGAGGTGAGGAATTAATAAGAGCCTGTAAAGTTCCTGATGCAATATTTGTACATGCTTCTGGATTTACAGGTGGTGCAATGTCTTTGGAAGGTGCTTTAAAAATGTGTGAGATGACTCTGCAGTTGGAAAATCAAAAATAAAATTATGTTGAACTTACCATTTTTGATTTTATATGCTGTTATAAAAACCATTTAATCACAAGAACCTATTGTTTGCTTTGTGACTATCTATAATCTATACAATACTTTAGATATATTACTGTTTACAGCAGATACACATTAATGGGAATGTTCCCATATGGTTTGCATCTCTTCAATTAAAAGTTAATGATTCTATAATATTTACTTAAATCCTTACAGATCTAATAATATCACGCCTGCGTTCCGGACCATAGAATACTAGACAGCAGAAAGTATACTCAAGTGAAATAATCGTCTTTGAAACTTGTTGTTTTGCATGCCTAGTTATTACTTTTAAAAATTGGAATGCCCTTTTTGCTACACTTTCCGTTGTTTGAGCGGAAATACCAGTTTGAAGATTTTCTTCTGGCACTTGAACTACTGCTAACTCTTCAGAAACCTCTATCTGTAATTTTTTATGTATATCACTCTCATATTTTGGTTGGCAGGACATTATTCCATTATCGACACATTGCAGTTCTTGTAATGTTAATGTACCAACTTGTACAGCCTCAATATTCATTAAGGGACATAATTTCACAGAAATAAATAGGAGAGTTGTAAAGAAAGATTGGGTAGCACAAAAGGGGTTAATATCTCAAAGAGAATATTAAGAGAGGATGCTTTTTAAAATGTGTTATTCTCTTATCGATTATAATTAGCTATTAATTTTTTTTAAAATTAATTTTTGATCAATATTGATCAAAAAGGGATCATCATAATTAGGTTGAAATTTTTAAGTATTAATCACGAACCACAAAGTTATTTGTGAGTAGAAACAAACCAATTTCTTAGGTATTAAAATGAAATTTTAAGTCTATGGGTTACACAAGTCATAAAAATACTATCAAAGAGTATGAACTTTTATCAAAAAAATTGATGTTTATTTAGGAATTTTATTTTGTAAATGAATCAAATGCATGTTTGTTTTTTAGCAATTCCATTCTAGTAAACACGTTATTATTTTCTTCTTGAACAATATCAAAAAGGGCGTCTTCGTCACTTTCATCATCTACGAAGCATCCTGGTGTAACTGCCATCTGTACAGAAGGGGTTGGTGTAATATTTCTCAAATTCTCGTAAATTTGACTAACAATTTGACCACAGCTTTCTGATGAATTCATATTTTTAATGTTTAATTTTGGAATTGAAAGTTTGTAGTTTGGGCCGTAATATTCTAAATATTCATTAAATGGAATATCAGAATCAAGTTTCATATTTAGTGCAACACCAGTATCATAAGCCCAAACTTTTGCAACATTTTCGATAGTATATCCCCCACCACCTAGCATAATCATTGGGATATTAAATGATTTTACAAACTCCACACAGCCACCATGCCCAACTTGAGTCAAATTAAAACATCCTAGTTTATCACCAGAAAGTGAATCTGCTCCGCATTGTAACACAACCGCACATGGTTGAAAAACCTCCATAATTCTCTGTACGATGGGTTTAAAAATAGCCAGATAAGACTCATCATCTATACCATCCTTTAGAGGAACATTTACAGAATAATTTCTTCCCTTATCAAAGCCTACATCTTCTATCTTCCCTGTTCCAGGGAAAAATTCACCATACTTGTGGAATGACAATGTCATAACTCTATCAGAAATATAAAAGGCTTCTTCTACTCCGTCTCCATGGTGTACATCAATATCGATGTATAGTATCCTTTCATGTACTTTAAGCAATTCCAGGATTCCAAGAACTATGTCGTTTACATAGCAGAATCCACTTGCCTCATTCCTCTTTGCATGGTGTAAACCCCCAGACCAATTAATAACTGTATTATACTCACCTAAATTGATTTTCCTGGCAGCTAATAGGGTACCTCCTGCAACAGATTTACAATAATCAAACAATCCTGCGAATACAGGACAATCTTCTCTAACATTAAATTTGTGTAAATCTGCCACTAAGCCATCCATATTATCCCCAGAGACACTCGCAAGAAAATTGATATAATCTGCAGAATGAAAATTTAATAAATTCTCATAAGATGCTTTTGATGGTTTAGCCATATCCATATGTTTGTACAAGTCATAATTTACAACCAATGAATGAGTCATGCCTATTCTTAGTGGTTTCATTGGATGTCCACGAGCATAATTGTAATTTACAATTTCATCATCGTGTAAATATAAAATGTTTTTCATGAATGGGTGTTATTTTTTAAAGAATATATGATAAATTTTTGGTAAATATAAAAGATTGTAGAAGAATAGGATTATTTCCTCTTAGAGCATTGAATAACTGCAATTGGTTGGCAAAAATAAACTGTAGGATCTTTATCTAATCAGAAAATCAAAAGCGATTGTAAAAATATTTTCCATTTATTCGTGTGTAAGAAATAATCAATATCATCGGTAAGAAAATAGAGATATTCCAGCAATTCCTCCAAGTTTCTTAAGTTTCTCACCATGCTCATGTGATACTGGTATAACACATATTTTAGCCCTTAACTCTGCAGCCTCTTTAACTATCAATTCAGTTGCTTGGCGTTCCTCAATTGTTTTTGGTCGATATAATTCATCTGTAATAAAAAGTGTTTTGACAGCACCATATTCAAATGCTTCATTTACTTCTCCTTCACCAATAAATAGTGTTGAATCCTGTCTATCCAATTTAATGAAGAATTCATTGATTTCCTGCAAATCTTCAACATATTTAACTTCTGAAAAAGAACTTACGAATGCCTTATCTGTTAAGATTTTGCTAATGGTCTTTGTATTTGAAATATTTTTATATTCTGATGGTAATTTTAGAACTATCGTACTAGCAACTAAATGCTTTAGATCCTTAGAAAAAGCTTTAAAAAAATCATTTCGAATTTCGGAAATACTTGCAATTACGAAGGTTTTAACCTTACTTTTTAAACCCGAAAGTCCATTGTTGATACTTTTAAAATTTTTTGGCTTTGGATCGTGCTTGGATAGAATCTTTATTGAACTGGCGCTAACAAGAGATACCACACAATCCTTTGCGAAAAACACAATAAAACATAATTCCGGTGATTCATGAGTAGCATCTTTGATAGTTTTTATATCAATATGGGACCAATTGTCTTTTTTAATAGTAAGCTTGTGATCAATAGGAATATTAAGCGTATGATAACTACCTATATTAATATGTTCATGCTCTTGTGAAACCTTTCCTTTTATATATATAATGCCATCGACAAGATCTGCCGTGATAGTTTCAACTCTAATTTCTAATTGGCAGACGATCTTTTGTTGGGTTTTTCCTCCATCAAATGAAACTTTTCTTGTTGTCACAGTTTTAACTCTATCTCCTTCGGAAATTATTAAACTCAAGCTGTATATATCATCGCCATTAGAGGCAATTAGAGTCATCTCACCACTTTCAGACTTTTGGTCAATAAGATTCCGTAAAATTTTCATTTAGGGGTGTGAAACATATTGGATAATTAACAAAAAGGATTCAATACTTAAAAATTATTCCTTGGTTTGTGGAGTTTAAAAAATTTTTAAAAAACTCCCCAAATGCAGCTAGCCAAGGCATTCTTAAAGCATAAAAAAGATTGTGTAAAAGGTGAAAGTGGTACAATTTTGGTGATTGGTGGGAGCGACTTATACACAGGTGCACCATTATTTGCAGGAAAAGCTGCACTAAGAAGTGGGAGCGATCTTTTATTTATCCTATCTCCATCTGATACTTGTGTAAATGCTTTAAAGGGGTTTCCAGAGGCTGCAGTTTATAAATTAGTCTACGATGAACAGATATTAAAAAGAGTTACTGCTTGCATAATAGGACCAGGGTTGGGTACAATAACTTTGGTATTCTTGAAGATAATTACTGATATTATGGATTATTTATCATCTAATCAAATCCCAGTTATTTTGGATGCCGATATTATACACTATTATAAAAGTGGATATTTTTCAGTGTATGATAAAATTATTATTACTCCAAATACACATGAGGGAAATGATTTGAAAGTATCTCCAGCTCATATTGTTGTTAGAAAAGGAGTATATGATAAAATCGTTTTTCAGGATAATACTCATATGGTTTGCAATGAAGGATCTGGTAAAAGATGTGGGGGACAAGGAGATATTTTAGCAGGCATAACTGCGACTGCTCTTTCTTTATATCCTCATGACTATATAGAAGCATGTGTATCAGCTAGTCAACTTACAAGATTATCAAGTAAAATAGCATTCGAAACCTATGGGTATTCAATGATAACGACTGATGTTATCGATAATATTTCTAATGCTTTAAAATATGCCAAATCCTATAATAATAATACTAAATAGTTATTCAGTTAGATTATTTTCCACAAAAGAATACAGATGGGATAGTTTTATAGCTATTATGAACACATATTTTGACTTTGCAAAGTAGTTTTTTAATTGAGTTACTTGTAAGATTCAAAAAATAAATAAACCAACTTGATCAAATAAATAACAAATAATTTATCTTAGGTTGTTCAAGGTAATTAGATGAAATAAGCATAGTGAAGTTAGTTCTTAAACTGAAACTAAAATCATAAATAGAATACCTCCTAAAATCAATGAAGCCCATAAATAGTCTCCAACTTCTTTCGAATGGCATATTCTCTTCTTCTTTACTTCACATTGTCTTTCTTCTTCAGTTATGGCCGTATTCTCGCCCTGTAATATTTGTCTATCTATAGTGTTAAATAGATTATCCTTTTCATTTTTTAAAAATGACTGAAAAGCCACTTCCCTTTCATAAATTGCAAGTAACTTGTCTCTATTAATTGAATGATCAAAATTTAATTTAATATTTTCAAGGTTCTGTTTCATATTACGAATATATTTAAAAAACCGTTTTTTGTGAACCTTTTCATGAGTTAAATTTTCGAAATCATCAAAAACGAATTCTATTTTATCAAACAAATTCGTGAATAAAATCGCTCTAAATTTAAATTTTTCAGTAGGATCATTTTGGAAAAAATTATGAAATTCTTGAATTATTTCTTCTGAGTTCTTTTGAATTAAATTTATAGCGGTGTGAAGCTTGTCTTTTTCGATATTTCCATTAGATTTCAAATCAATATTTGTGGTTGCAGCAAATTCTGCAAATCCATTGCTAAAAGATGCGGGACATCCATCAACATTTCCAATGACACATGATTTGTCCAAGAAATGTGTAAACACAAGCATGTAAAGCCCAAATAGCAAGTCTGATGCAAGACAAATGAACGTTAAGAATCTCAACACAAATGCAAGATCAATTTCACAAACTATAATAATAAGAAAGTATATGCTTAACGCAGCCTGGAAACAAAAATATGCGTTGAGAAAAGTTACTGTAGATTTCGAATCGTTTGTAAATGTTCCATTCTGAGAATGGCTCATTCCACTTAAGTTCTCTCCGGCAAGAATCATATTCAGGCCTTCATCTTTGGTCTTGGATGCTAATTGTTTTAAAGTACTTTGAATTTTGAATGATTCAAACACATCTGCAACCATTTGTTTTGCTTCACGGCTATAGTTTGTAACAGCAGCATTAAATGATGCCATCTCGCCTTCAATTTTCAATGCTTCGGAATAGAATGGTTTAAAATCACAGATAAACTTTTTTGTTTCCTTTTGTAAGTTTTCAATGGTCGATTTTATTTCCAAAATGAATCTTTCTAGTCCACAGTTTGTCTGAAATTCTGAATTTAAATTCTTTACAATTCTTTTTAGATATAGGTTCCGATCAGAATCTTCAAAATTATCTTTTGCCGATTGATCATTCTTGGGCATTTTATCTTGATCATTTGAAATGGATATCTCGTTCGATAATGTTTTGCTTTCATTGGATAAATCATTGCTTTCACTAGAAGTTCCATTCGGAAAGTTTGGAAATTCTTTTGCCACATTTTCCATAGAATTTGATTTTGTAGTTTGACTTGAATTAGCAAATTCTTGGAGATTATCGGATTTGTTTTCAATTTTATGGTCTACTTGAGTGGTTCGATGCCTCCAAAATCCATTTTTTAAAAGATTGACATGTGATAAGCTTTGGATTTTGAATGAATTAAAATTGTTTTGCATCAGGTAAACTGCATTTTTCAAACCATTGGTGACAAGTTTTGAGCCCATATGAGTTGTTATCTCGGGATGAATAGACATGGAGACAATATCCGCACTATATTTATAATTCAAAGATGAAAATATAAGGAAGAAACCAGCAACATACAAGTAGAACTGACTTCTAATCCTTGATTTAGTTGCTACCAGTAATATAAGATTAATTGCAATAATTAGCAAAAGTACAAGGAACACACCCACAAATTTGGTATTTCTAAAAAGTTGATATATCATTGTATCTATGACTGTTGTCTTTTCAGATATTTTTATTGGATTTCCCAGAATATAGACTCGTATATTCTCAAGTACCTTCTGCATCAGTACAGACTCTGGTGTAAATTTAAATCAGTGTTTCAACAATAAAATTTGAAACAGATACTCAAAAGCTATTGGATATTTGCAAATCAAAGGTAAGAATAGCTTGAAAGTATTATATTATGAATAATTTAGTAAATTAACTGGTCTGTCTTCCAATCAAAAAGCAATTTAATACTAATTCAAATTAAAAATGATTGGTTAAAAAAGCATGCGATATTCAAGCCTTATAGCATGGTTTGCTATAATATAGTTTATAAGTGTTAGAAAATACTTTTACTAGTTTTATGAAATCCAGAATAATTATTCTAATAAACATTCAGTTCTTTGTAATTTAAAATACTAAATCTGTATACTACATATTATCAATCATCTAAGCCTACTTTAAATCATTTATATTTAGAAATTATTATCCAATTTTTGTATTGATGAGTAAAGGGAAATCCAAACACTTTTCTATAATAATTTTTTGTTTCATTATTAACCCTTATGGAGGAAGAGCACGATTATCTGTTAAAAATAATTCTTATTGGGGATAGCGGAGTTGGAAAAACCAGTTTAATGCGCAGATATACTGATGGAATCTACTCTGAAGGTACTGCTTCAACTATTGGCGTAGATTTTAAAATCAAAACCATCACTGTAAATTCAAAGCGAGTCAAACTTCAAATTTGGGATACAGCAGGCCAAGAACGATTTAAATCAATTGTTTCAAATTACTACAGAGGAGCAAATGGCTTGATAGTTGTATTCGATTTACTTAACAAAGAATCATTTGATCATTTGGATATATGGATCAAAGATTTACAAAAAAAGAATGCTACTGTGGGATCGGAAATAATTATTTTAGGAAATAAGGTTGATGAGAAAGAGCATGTCCAAGTAACAAAAGAGGATGTTTTGCCCTTTCTAAAAAAATATAGTATACCACATTCAAACTATTATGAGGTGAGTGCTAAAGAAAATCTTGAAGTTGAGACTGCATTTGTAAATATGACCTCTTCATTGGTTGAAAAATTTGATAAGTTTGGAAATGGGAAGACATCTAAGGTTGCATTTAAAATAACTAGAGAAAGACGTAATTGTTGTTGAATGAAATAAAATTGTGTTTACAGAATGCCTAGTTATAACACGATATGCATATATCTTGCCAAATAAATTTGTAGGTCAGTTATCAATCTATATTTAAAGAGCAAATCACTTTTAGAATAAATCAACTATTGCAACAGAAAAATATTATTTACTGTTTTAAAGCCAAGTTGGTTAGCATTTATGGATTTAATATTGATATGATTTAGTTTTCTATTCCATCTAGCATCGCCTTACACAATCTTTTATTCTATGTAGAAATTTAAGGCCAAGGAAATGTTCTATGAGTAGTATAAGTGAGTTTTTATTGTTTTAAATATTTTCCCCCATATAATGAAATTAACAGAATCTGAAAAGTCTATAATAGACTCTATTGCAAAATATGCCAGGTCCTTAAGCTATTCTACAACTCCAAGAATTGCCGGTGGATGGGTTAGAGACAAAATAATGGGGCTGGACTCTAATGATATGGATGTGTCTGTTGATAATGTGTCTGGATTTGAATTCGCATCTGGGTTAGTGGAAAGTCTATCTACAGAAACACCAAATATTCACAAAATTTTAGCAAATCCAGAAAAATCAAAACACTTAGAAACTGCTGTTGTGAAGATTTATGGAATGGATGTAGATTTTGTTCATCTAAGGGACGAAACTTACTCAACAACTCGAATTCCAGTAGTTAGTCGTGGTACAGCCAAAAGTGATGCTATGCGAAGAGATATTACCATTAACTCCTTGTTTTATAACATTCTAACCCGTAAAATTGAAGACTTTTCCGAAAGAGGTATCTCGGACATCAAATTAGGAATTATAGATACTCCTCTTGATCCAAAAGTCACTCTTTTTGATGATCCACTACGAATTTTAAGAATATTCAGATTTCAGGCAAAATTTGGATTTACAATTCATAAAAGAATTATTGAAGCAATCGATGATGATAGAATTCGTAAAGCATTGAAAACTAAGGTTTCTAATGAAAGAATATGGAAAGAATTATCCAAAATGCTTGGCTATAAACGGGGAAATTTAGGATTGATTGAAATCGCAAGAAGTAATTATATTGATCCGATATTTAAGCCAGTAATAAGTATTCAAATTAGAGGGGTTAGTGAGTTTATAGCAAAATGGAATCGGTCGCAATACAAGTGTAACGAATTAATAATTTCATTGTATGGAATCTTACATAATTTTGCAACACTCAAGACCAAAGTTAAAAAAAAGGATATTTACGTAAACTCTGTAATTCTTCAGGATTCATTGAAGGCACCCAAATCTCTTGTGATTGCAGTGGCAAAAATTGAGAGTAATATTGAGTATCTTCAAAACAAATTTAGCAAACCAGGTATAGAATTACCAACTGCTACTAAGACATTCGTTTCAACCATTCTGGATTGTGGAGAAACTTGGCTTGAGAGTTTGGTTATTTGCTATTTTTTGTATAATAACGAAATATTCAATCAAGTAATTTGTAAAATTTATGAGTTAGGTATCTCAAATTGCAATAAAATTAAAAATATTGTCAGTGGAAATGATCTTATGAAATTAGTAAAAGATGTTAAGGAATTAAGATTAAGCATACGTGAAATATTTATCCACCAAATTGAAAATCCTCAACTAGGAAAAGATGATTTATTAAAATGGTATTTTGGAAATAAAATTATTGAATAAATAAGACTCACAATGACTAAAAATTGAGGGGAAATGTGTATTCTGTATGGTTATAAGCTTTATATAGTTGTGCTTCTGAATTCTGGTAAGCCAAATAATAGGTATATCATTCAAAGTTGCACGTGATCTGTTATTATTCAATAATATTGTGAATAGATTAAAACAAGTAAATATTCTATAAAATCTTTATTCATTCGATAATAAATCTGCTTTGTAAGAAAATAGTTATTTTCCTACATTTCCGTACATTAACCAACCAGCCAAATTCAGTATCTTCAACAGGAATATTTGATCAAGATCAACATGTTTATATACATAAAACTCATAAAGGATAAGCAAAACATCTGTAAAAATATAACCCAAATATGTAACAAAGAATCTTTTCCAACGATTTCTAACGAACTGTGCTACTGAAGAGGTAAAAAATTCCCTTTTATTAAAAATATATAGGGTAAATTTTATTGCTGATTTAATCATCAAGATTCCCATTGTCTTTTTGATATAGAAGATATGTAAGAGCATATTGTTTAATCCTTTCAAGCAGAAAATTATTGCAAATTCAGAAAAATTCAATTGAGATGAATATTTTTCCTTAAAAATAATCTGGGAGAAAATAGCAATTATTGTGAGAATAAAAAACGTATTTAGTTCTAATTTTTTAATTCTTCCTGAAAGTAACTCAGTAACAAAGAAAATCAGGATAATTCCAAGCAAGTCACTTAATTTGATCACCTCAATTCGCATTTGATCAACGGATGGATTTGCTTGAACAAAGATATCCAGTATTCCCAGGACAACTCCACAGATGAGATCTTGTACATTGAGTTTATATTTGTGTCGTGAGCACCACAAATACGAGACCAAAGCTACTATAGGAGATGAAAACCAGGCTTCTAAATAGTTTTTTACTGCATAAACTTGTATATAATCAACGAATAAAATACTTTTGATTAAATCTAAAATAATGTATCCTAAGCATATAATTATAATTTTTCCTAAATGTTTATAGGAAATATTCATGGGGTCAAAAAACCATAGAATCATTTCCTAAATCTGCTACCCAACTTTACAAAATAAAATATAGTTTGTGTATTACAGTTAACCTATAAATTAATTTACTATTTAATAGCTTGCAATAATTGATTATAGTATGGATATATTTTTAAGTCTTTTAATGACTTTTTATAAATCATGATTTGAACATCTTTATTAAATTCTAAGGTTATATCTTTTCACATCATTGTTATTTTCCGAAAACCTATTTATATTTGATTGAGATGTGTGAAATTAACTTTTTATCATTCAAAGCTGATTACATCGGTTTTTACAAATCTTTATCAGAAATAAATTTTTATGTAAAAAGTTTATTTCCCTCCCTTTTCATCCAAAGCCTTATTGCTATATTTGACGTTTCAAAATAATTTCTTTGTTTGGAGATGTAAGATGCTCTAAATGAGAAGATAGGAAAGCAGCAATATTTTCATTCCAGAAAGGTAGAGTTATATTACGCATCACAAGTTGATTAAATACTTTAAATGTTTTGCATTTTTTTCCTCTTCGTTGTCTATTTTTTGAATAAATTCCATTTGTGCTAAATTTATATTTTTTGATTAGAAATTGCAGACAAAACCAAAAATTGTTTTTCTGAAAAACAAAGTTGCAAAAATAGCGTTAAATGGAAAAAGAAAAGAATAATTATAGTAGTTTGCCTGAAATAAATGTATCGGCTCCGAGTTTTAACCATCCTAATGCCAATATATGACCTTGTATTTTTTTATCTTCAGAAAGTCTCCTAATCATTTTTGAAACATCTTATTCCCTCCTTTTTTATGTATAAAAATAAAAATAAATCTTACCCATATGGCGAGAACAAAGCAGTCAGCAAGAAAGACACCGGGGTTGCAAACAGGAGGTAAGGCACCGAGAAAGCAGTTAGTAACAAAAGCAGCGAGAAAGACTGCAGGTGCTACTCCTGCATCTGGAGCAGCGAAAAAACACAGATATAAGCCAGGCACTGTCGCTCTTCGAGAAATACGTAGATATCAGAAGAGTACCGAGAGGCTTATTCGTAAACTCCCGTTCCAGAGATTGTGTAGGTCGATTTGTAGGGAACAAGCTAATGCAGCTGATATTAGGTTTCAGGGGCCAGCTCTTTTAGCTCTGCAAGAAGCATGTGAAATGCATATTGTAAGCTTATTTGAGGATGCTTTACTCTGTGCTCAACACGCTAAGAGAATAACTGTCTTTGGAAAAGACTTCTTACTGGTTCAAAGGATAAGATCAAGATTTATGAGAACTGCATCCGTACAAGAATAAATAATTGTTTCAAAACAATAAATTAAAAGCTTCTCCATTTTCTATCCCTTTCATGAAATCTATAAATATTTTTCCTTTCTATATATCTCCAGGAAGAATTTCCACAAACCGATTGGATTTCTCTGGAAAAGAACTTATTATTAGAAGTGTTGTTCTGGAAAAGAAACGGTTCACTGCACCTCTGTATCTAAATGGAGATTTAATTGATGCTGATGTTTCATATTGGCATCCTAAAGTTCAAAATGCAGACTATATTGAAAAGGGAATTCAATTAACTAAAAATGGCTATAAATAAAAAATATTTAAATTAGAAATATTGGTGGTTTGTTCGTAGATACTTTATTTTATCGATATGTTGCGGTTAAAATTAGCCTATTCGACTTTTTTATTCAGTCTATTTCTTTTTAATAATGTGTCTACTCTTTCTACAAATGCAATCTCTTCATGAATTTCAAAGAATTGGTGATGATCACATGCATACTTAGTGTCTTCTTCTATCTCTTTGGCAGATAGCTCAATTTTCAATTTAGAAGCCATTCTGTGGGGCTAAATTATCCATTAAAAGCATTTTGTGGAATTTAGATAATTAGCAGAGATAATATAGTAGAATCAACGGAGCAGCCGAGTTAAAGAGTGTCTTTGTGCCTGAAAAAATATTCAAATTGTATTCAGTAGTAATGGATGATTAATTTAATAAATAATACCCCCATGTTTCTGTTTGTTTCAAAAATATTAGCAATTACTGAAAGTGAAGTGGAAGAATTGAACAAAATAACATATTATGAACTAGACAGATTATCTAAAACAGATTACTTTTCGAAGGTAAAAATCAATTTCTATGACAAATGCCCCAAGCAAATTGAGAATTGTTCTACAGGTAGTTGTGAGGTTCCTACAATAAAATATAAAGACAAAGAAGGTGTAATTGACCTATTGAGCACTATAGAATCATATTCTAAAGATGCATCCAGCTCAGCACCTGTTTGGAGTGAAATTTACAAAAATCTTCCTAATGAAGATCTACGAAGAATAATCAGTGGTCTTCATTTCTCTGTTTCAATCCACATATCTGCATTTCACACATGGTTTTTGGGAAGAATATACAGCCATCCAATTATTTTTAAAAGGCGCTGTCCAGAAAGTTATAAGAAAAACTTTTTAGAATTATATATGATTGTCCGTGCAGCTGTTGGAAATCTTAAAAATACACCCTCTACTTTGAATAATGGACTGAGTCGCTTATCAGCAAGTATAGATGTTGATGAAATTAAATTACCAAAAATTGGTATAGAAGCAATTGAATCAGTAAACAAAGCTATTGAGCTTATTGCTTGTCTTAAATGTCAGAAATGTATTTTATGGGGAACTATTCAAGCTAGAGGACTGAGATCCACAATAAAATCTCTAAATCACAAAAGACTTTACAAAGAGGATCAGATTGTTTTGGTGAATCTATTTAGAAGGCTGAGTGAAAGTGTTGTTCAAAGTAGACGTCTTGCCAATGTTAAGCATCCCTATCTGTACTTTATTATAGTTTATAACATCCAATTACTAATCATCTCTATCTCAAT